CACATATAGATGGCAGAAATCATACGGTCTACAGTCCCAGTAATCACATTACCGTCACCATTTAGCATTAAAAATGAATTTCCGCTAGAACAACAGAAGATAAGGCAACCGAAGACCAAGGGGTGCTTGTATGTATCTTTCTTTTGTATCATCTAATGTTCGAAAATTTAAGTTCAAAAGATATCAAGTTTGAAGCCCTAAATTACACGATATGGAGAGCAAAATATCAAACTGGTACTTAGTCAAATAACATGGAGAGCAACACATTCACAATAAAGCTTCCTAATCCGATGCGCATACACTGTCATCTGAAAATTTCTTTCGACCATAGCTACATAGCGACAACATATTCAATTAATTCCCAATTCCAAAATTCATAAGTACTATGATACGACCGTGACTAATCTTTAATTTATAACTGGTAAACCCCTATTCCAACGTTCTCTATCTAATTTCAAGTCCATCAGCACTACTACTTCAGCGATTATCTATAAGCCACCATGAAAACTTCCCATCAATCCTCGTTTCTTCAATACAACAACTAACCACTTCCAATATCAAAACAACAAGCGCATATAATACGAGGACGACAAGGTCCATTAGACCAGATTCCAATTGATTTCAAGCACCGTGCTCGGCTCGCGTAATCGGTAATCCATTGCTATCCATAAGGAAAATTTACCACAGCAATAACTTCTCTGTAATATTCTGTTTCTTAACCATGTATCGTCTTTGATATCAAATGGTTGATGTCGATCTATGCGCATCTTTCACTCGAGTTATTTCAGTACCTGGATCGGAGAAGAGCCACAGAACGACAGCGCAGAAGACGACGACGACGGGGATGAAATGGATGTAGGCCTTCGCTAGCTTAAAGCGGCGGCGTTCTTTCTTGGCCGCGTGAGAGAACGGATTGTTCATCGGCAGGTAGAGCTCTGAGTCCAAGGCGGAACTCACGCTCGAAGATCTGAAGATTGCGGATTGCGACGACGACGACGATGACGAACTTGGTAACATCTTGTCGGAGACTCTGGAAGCGCTCAACGCTCTCTTCATCTTCTTCGTTTTTCGGTCGCCGGAGAAATTAAAGCGCGAGGGATGGCTCAAACCTCGTGGCGTACAACGAACCGATGAGCGATGGATTTTAGAAAATTTGACCAACGCCTCAAAATAATTTTTTTCCAATTTCGGCTTATGTTATTTATCTGTAATTTTAAAATTTTGTCATTGTTCATTAAATACAAAATTAACTCCCATGCAAAACATTTTTGTTGATGCTTTCCCAACGTGGACTCAGCTGATCTCATCGGTAATTAGTATAGTTTTATTAAAAAGTTGTGAGTTCGAATCTTCTACCACCAATTTGCTTCGCATCAAACAACTGGTATTATGCTTTCAGATTTCAGGAAAGCACCCGCGTGAACGGTGATGGACGAAGCGGAAACGAAAATGTCAACTTGAATAGCGTAAACATTGGTGAGATTATCTAGTCATACTTCATAATTGGAAAAACGAGCATCCTAGTTTCAGTTGTAGAATCTCGTACAAGTTATGTTGCGGTTGTATTAGCTATGTCGATCAAATTCGTTAAAGTTCAAGCAAACAAGAATATCAAATTTAATTACTTGAATGTATCGACATAATAATTTTTTTTATGTAAATATGTTTTATTAAATTGTAGAAATGATAATAATTTTCTAAAATAATATAAAAATTAACATAAGGTGTTAACAAAAATTTTGGATAATGTGATTTGAATTTTAGAAAGTTTTGTCTTCAAATGGGATATTTTTTTTCCTTCAAGTGTTAGGTATATTGCAATGATAAAAAACAATGCATTTCACGACTTGAAATCAAGGGACAAAGGGATCAAACAGAGTTGACTATGGAATGCAAAGAAGAAAGACAATAATGAAATAAAACATGAACATAAGAATCAAAACTATAAAAGAAAATCAACTTAGTTATGAAAATAACTTCCAATCATACTCCATTCAAGTTCAACATCTAAAATGAACACTATTTCACAAAGTGATAGCACGAGTATAAACATCACTCACGTGTTTACTTTAAAAAAAAAAAAATCAATCTAACAAATCTTGACTGAGATGGTATAAAATCGGGTCAAGATTCATGCAATATTGAAATTACATAATCCTCAGTGAAATTCATGCAATCTCACCTGAAAATGCATGAATCCCGAGCTAGTTTCATGTAATATCCGTGCAATTTCAATCGACCTTATTTTTTTTAGTATAACATGCAATTTCAACATACCTTGTTTTTTTAGTATAACATGTCAAACATATGTGTCTTGACCCATTGAGTTATGTTTAGATTGGCAACTGAAATTACTAGTTCTCGAGATTCATTTAATTTCAACAAACTCTCGATTGAAGTTCGTTGAAATTGCACGAATACCAATGTTCATTCAAGATTCATGCAATTTAAACTAATATTGTATTTATAGTTGAAATTGCACGCCTTAGCACTTAAAAGGTAGGTGTTATACTTGTTCCCATAAGTTAATTATCATTTATCCATATATAACATGTTTTGAGTTCAAAAGTTGAAAGGGGAAAAATTAAATCATCAATTATGAGATGATGCATATTCACTTATTTAATTGGTTCATTTTATGCTAGCTTTAACTCATTGTGTCTCTAAAAAAAAGGAAGAAAAAGAAACGGTAGATGTTTGCAATGATATATTTTTACCTACGACCTAAACATAACTCAAGGTTAAGACACTATAACTCTTACTAAAATTTCAATCATGTATGGTTGAACTAAAAAAAAAAGAACATCACACAAGTAAAGTGTGCACATGGCATTCCATACCCGTTTGACTCTCCTTTTTATAAGTTAGGCTAAAACTATATAAAAAAATATCATTGAATTCTGCCAGTTGTTTAAAAAATGCACCTAGCATCTAAAAATTTTAAATATCATCATTGACCCCTTCACAAAATGTTTCAAAAATATATCAATTAACGTCGCAGAATTTGAAACGACGTGATAGTTAATAGAAGTTAGGAGACAGGAACAATTAATTGAAATTTACAAATAAAAAAAAATGATCTCAATGACGGTAAAAATATTCATGCTTAAAAATAATAATGGATTCATAGTTGACCTCCTTAAAGGTTAAAATTTAATTTGTTGTAGTTTATTTGTTCCAAATAAATCTTTATTAATTAACACATCGTTCATACTCTGGCGTATCAATTTTTTGTTTAGTATATTAGTGGATATTTGTTCATAAAGTATTTTTGAAACAAATAATATTGAAACTTTTAAAAAATAGAAATATTTTCTAAACAAATAGCCAAATTTAAAGGTGCTTTTTATAATTTAACCGGTAAAATTATTATTAAGCCGACGTGTCAACGAAGTGACGAGGAAACTCTCCGTAGCGCGTCTGCAACAATATTATTACGAAACGACCCTTCTACTTCTATGAATGGCGGCCATGGCCAACTCTATTTATTTGACTATTTTACCCCTATATATTTTTTAATCCTATTGTTTTTCTCCATATATTAAATTCAAAGTTAATTTTAACTTTTAAATTTAAAATTTATTGAATTAAATATTAAAAACTAAATTAAAAATTTACTAGGATGGTCGTGGCCTTTATCTCCAAATGTTTGTCTATAAATACAAACATTGCGTTGTTTGTATTTATTGTTTTTCATTTTTAATCTACATTTTTACAAATTTTGAAAATAATAAAAGCTTCTTCTTGTTCTTAGAAAATTTTGAAAGGCAAACCATACGAATTATTGAAAGAAATTGGGTGACGATATAAAGTTGTTTTCTCGATGACAAGACATAATATGTTTGAAGATAATACAAATCTATCTTTATTTGCTATTGTAAAGTTATTTGTTTGTAATTATGAGAATTTACTTTTCCACCTTTATTTTGAATGCATTGGTTATGATAAGATTCGTTAGAGAAAAGAGATCCTATTTTGTCGGCCACATCTTATCTTTACTTTTAAAAAAAAGTAGATTCCAAAGACATAAGAATCAGACATAAATCATGTTCTGTCAGCCTCAATCTTATCCCTTTACGCTCTCATGTATTTAATTTTTGTCTTCGCTATATATCAAATTTAACCTTTAACGTTTAAATTTAAAACTTATTAAATTAAATATTTAAAAACTAAATTAAAAATTTACTAGTCAAGAGGGGATGGGTCATCATCTTTATTTCCAAATTTTTGTCTATACATACAAGCATTTGGCGCTGTTTATAGTTATTATTTTTCATTTTTAATAAATGTGCATACAATTTTTTAAAATAATAAAGGCTTGTTTTTTTTTTATTCTTTCTGTTTATGATTTAATGTTTTCAAAATTTCAAACATATTAATAAAAACATTATGCTGTCATTTTTAGTTATAAAATGTATAATATATATCGAAAATTTAAATATAACATACAAGGATTTTTAATGTTTTACATAAGAAACAATAAATTCCATATAAAATTTTGTTTTTAATTTAATATTTGATACAAAATGATGATCAGATATATATTTATTTTTTTAGAATAAAATAATAGACAACCACAAATACATAAAAACTAGCCGTAAAATAAAATAAATAAATAATCGAACTGAAACAATTAAATTTATAAATCGAACTAAAAAACCAATATTTGAAAGTGGAAAAAGAAATATAACATTTAAAAATTTAGAGGAAAAAATGAGACATTAATTTTTTTTCTTTAACATGGAGTCGATATTGAACCTTCTAATCCACTAAATTATTTTCAAATCATCAATTTAATTGTTAGTTTGAGTATAGTCAAAATATGAATAGTTTTTCTTATAGGTCGTTGGATATCTATTTATTTATTTGAATACTCTAAAAAATAAGTTAATTAATATTTTGAAATGTCTAATATCGTAAATTAACAAACAACACGTGGCAACATTCAAAAGGCAGTGCTACGTCATTACGGAACCTCCATTTTTCAAATTTATTGCTCAGCAAAATTTGTAGGTTCTTCAGAATCGCGAATACAAATCATTCTTTGCCTTGTTTTCCTTCTAATTCTATTCAATTCAAATCCGTTCTTCTCCGGCCAAATTCTTCGCATTCCGATCGAAACTCGCCGGGAAATTTTACGTCTCTCCAGTACCGTGTGGAATTCTTCGTGATTCCATCGATCTCGACCGCTCGAAGCCATGACGCCTGAATAGTAAGCTCGAATTCGTTTCCTCTGATCAAATTGCTCGTTTGGAATTCTTAGATTTCAATTTTGTTTTTCGAAACTTGCGCGTTTCTGTATGGAAGTATCTTAGATCTGGTAGGTGGTGTAGAGAAGGTTGTGAGTTTTCTGTCTTTTTAATTTCACCTTCTTCTTAATTTAATTGTTCACAGTCCAGTAAGCCTGAGTATCGATGATCCGTGGGGCTCTTGGTTGATTTTTCGGTTTGGATCTGTAATCAGATCCACGCGATTCGATCAATTTCGGTCATGGGTGCATGATAGCGTCTGTTATTGTTTAACAGCGTTTGGTGATAATCAACGAGTTATCGATCCTTATGTTCAAGCAATTCTCATCGTTGAAAAATTTTTCATTAAAAAAAAAGCTTAGACTTCTTTCGAGTTTCGAGTGAGATTCCATAGATTTTGGAATTGTTAGGTTAGGTGTATTGTTTTGTAGATTTTGCTGAAAACGATACAAGTCAACGTTTCGTTATGTTGTATATCTCTTTTACATTCTATAACTAGTGACCACTTTATTTAGTTGGTACGGAATGAAGTCTTGCAGTTTACTCTCTTTGGCATCATTAGGTCCTTGACGATGGGAAAGTAGCGCATAATTCATTTGAACGTGGAAGATATTGTAACATATTGATCTGCTTGGCTGAGTTTCCAAAAGACAGTAATAGATTATCGAGGATGATTGCTTGCAGTGTTCACGTAGTGTTTCATGTTCAATTTGATGAAGAAATGGTGTATTTAAATATCTAATGGGCATTACTATCGTCCTTCTTGTTTCAAATTTTCAATCTATATAGTCGCTTATGATATATCCAACTATCCCTAATTATCTATCATTGCACTTCATATTTATCTCTAAACAATAATTTTACTTCTGTGCAGTGATTATTTGTTTAAGCTCTTGCTTATCGGAGATTCTGGTGTTGGCAAATCATGTCTCCTTTTGAGGTTTGCAGTAAGTGCTCAGCGATATTACTACTGTTTTGTTTATAATTCACAAATTTTTTGGTTCTGAGTTATGCTTTCAATTCACAACTAATATGTTAGGATCCTAAATACACAAGATAACTATATTGTAATATCAAATGACGTTACAATATCAAGAGCCTTTCGATAGAGCTATCTCTCTCCCAAAGAACCATGCTAAGTTCTTCGCCCTAAACTATTTCCCGAAAGATGCCTTCCCTCTCTCCCTACTACTTCAATTTATAATAAACTTACCCCTAACTAATTACCTCTAACTACAATATTAATACTATTCCCATACTATCTTTATTTTGACTCTCACATAATAACCCCATATTGATTCAGTTTTCCAACTTCTATCACATGTCGTGTGGTTTTGGTGTGAGATATATTGTTGCAGACTTGTAGTTGACTAAGAATAACCATCTTGTGTGCGTTGTAGTGTTCTGTATGCAGTTTTACTTCAGGAGTGGTGGCTAGTTTAGATGGTCGTGGTATCAGACTTGTTTAATAGTGAACTTAGGATTTTTTTGGATCAATTTTGTTCGCAGTCTTGATTCTACCAATTTGGTCAGTTGGATTGTTGGAGTCATACATTGTGTTTCTTTTTTCTTTGGACTCTGTTACGAAAAGGCACTTGTATGTTACCCTTAGTAGTTGTTCTTTAGGCACTGATATTTTTTGTATCTCAAGTGCTGTATTTGGACTAATGGAGTGGAGTTATTGCAGTGTTTATGTTTAATTTTAACTATTTTTTTGTTTCTATTTTCTTGCTGACCAGGACGATTCATATTTGGATAGCTACATTAGCACCATTGGGGTTGACTTTGTAAGTTTTGATTTTATTCTCTTCTGATATTGTTATTGATTGCTTTGAAGAAATTAATTGTTCTAATATATGTTGTGTTTCCATTCTTTTAGAAAATCCGCACAGTGGAACTCGATGGGAAGACTATTAAGCTCCAAATAGTAAGTTTAATATCTCATAGTTTTCTTCTTATGTACATATCATTTTTGTCCAAATTCTGGCGTTGACTATACAAAATAAACATTTGAGTGTAGAATAGAATAAGAGGTCTTAATCACATGCCTTCCAATAAAGGTGGCTGATGTGCAGCGTTGACTTGACGTCTAACGAAATAAAATTCCTTTCTAAGTTATTCTGGAGGTCGCGTGGGTTGTTTTCTTTTATTTTCATGGCTTCGAATGTGCTTTTAGTTGACATTACGTTAATGCACTTAAAATATTTTATAAATTTGTATGGAAGTAACTAACTGCCTTTGAGATACGGTGGTCCGGACTTGGAGTGCCCATGTGACCACCGTTGGTTCCAGTCAAGATTTTAAATGTTGATAATGATGGAAATGTTGAGGTCTCAATTTCATGGAAATGTCGATGTCAATAGATATTTCTTTAAAAGTTAGAGAAACTGAAAAATTGTAAAAAATATTTAATTGAACAAATAAACATTTTTCTATTTCTAAATAAGTTAAAAATGATTAATATTAATATTATGTATGTATTAGTGATATTTTGTTGATATTTTCATATTTTGTCGATTTTTGTTGTACTTTGATGAAAATGTCGATTTACCCTTCATATTGATGTTGAACCCATTACATGGACATGTCGATGAGAATGGTCGATGAGAATGTCGAAGTATCGACGGATATTTAATACCATGGTTCCAGTTTATAAATTAAGTTAACTAATTTGAACGGTATGGTCGAGACCATTATTTTTAGAACGGAACTAGTCACTGGCTACAGGTTTCTTTCCTACCGGACCGGAGGCAGCCGAGAATGTTATGTCAAAAGGACGTCTCTTTTTACCATCTATACATGCAGAGAGCAGACATAACACTGAAGCAGGATACTCACGATCAAATCCACACAAAATATTGTTGTCACAATTAGAGACACGACCGCAAACCTTCACTTGTTTTTGGTCATAAGAAAAGTCTCTTCTGTTTTGTTTTTTTTTTTTTTTTTTGCTCTCAAATGCATTTTACCCTCCAAATTATACATAACTGCTATTATATTGTTGTAAATAGGAGTTAAACAAACTTTTTCTTACAATGTGCAGTGGGATACTGCTGGTCAAGAACGTTTTAGAACAATAACCAGCAGCTACTACCGTGGTGCTCATGGCATTATTGTAAGAGTCACATAGTCCCTAAAACTCTCTCTCTCACTCTCTATATATATATGTTTATCGGGTTTAGTCGTGCGTGGTAAGTTACTCTGAATCTTGTAAACTCTTGGCAGGTTGTTTATGATGTTACAGATCAAGACAGTTTCAATAATGTTAAGCAATGGTTAAATGAAATTGATCGTTACGCAAGTGAAAACGTGAATAAGCTTCTTGTGGGTAATAAGTCCGACCTGACAGCAAACAAAGTCGTCTCCCACGAGACAGCAAAGGTATTATATTTCATTAGATTCATTCTTTACTTTTTGGCCCTGAAAAAGCTTAGAGAAGTGAGACTTTTATGTTCTCTTTTTTAGGCATTTGCGGATGAAATTGGAATCCCCTTTATGGAAACAAGTGCTAAAAGTGCCACGAACGTTGAACAGGCTTTCATGGCCATGGCTGCTGAAATCAAGAATAGGTGAGTTCACTTTTGACCTTATCAGGGAGGGCTTAAACCATCTAGGAGTAAGAAATACTTCGGGCGTTGGGTTCGATAGGTTTATGAGGGCATCTATGTTTAGGATGTGGATTTGTTCATCCCGAGCCATGAGTTTTCTAAATCCATGGATTACACACACTAAGGTGTATGGATTTCGCATACTTTCTCAAATCATAAGCTACAAAATCAAACACAAAGTACACAAACTTAACATTTTCGATCCTAAACTTATCCATATCGTGATTGTGAGTCTATCTGAAGCCATTTGTACTACTAGTTTAGGAAGCTTTTCCGTGTGTATGAATTGGCATGAACACCTCACTTTCGAAGCTGGTATGATCTGATTTGTAAAACACGATTATTTTCAGGATGGCGACTCAACCAATGAACAATGCGCGGCCGCCAACCGTGAAAATTCGAGGACAGCCAGTGAACCAAAAGTCTGGTTGCTGCTCGTCGTGAAGGAAAGGAAAAGTGTTTTGATTAGCAACACTGTACCTGTGTGTGGTCCATGGTTGGTCCTCCTTTGACATGTAAAACTCTTTGGATTAGCTTCTGTTCTAAAGCTTTCTTTTGTTTTCTTCATCTTCTCTTCTCTCCATTTACTTTACTTTGTTGGTCAGCACTTCGTTTACAAAATTCCCATTCTTTTCAATGTACTTGATTCTCATAAACAAAATTATCTGTACAAATTAGAAAAATATTATTGGTGAATAATAGCATTATTTGCCCTTTTTTTTTTCTAACCTTCTCACATTCCTTCATGCCTCTTGAATCTTGATGAAATTCATCCATATCTGAATAGTACCCCATTCGAAATTATTAATTTGAACTAGGACTATTCAGGTAAATACACAACCTTATATGAAAATATATCGTCTCAATAAAAAACTATTTGAATACTGAAAAAATCATCTCTATCTCGTTTTTATGATTGCTTAGCTGTTAGAGAATATACGTTTCTTAATTATCTCTTATTTTGCTCTAACAAATGCAATATTGCCTATAAGAATTTGAAATTCTGAAGGCATATTTAGCTTTTGTAGTATTACGTTAATTATTTTTTTACTATTTAATTAGATAACTAACTTTTAGAAACTAATTTGATGTATTGATTTATTTAAACTAAAAATAAGAGTCAAGTAGTCACGAGAATATGTTAAATACAAAAAATACCGTCAAAATGTCTTTCTTGTCAAAATACAAGAGTCAAATGATAGGGACTTAACAACTCACAACTTTAACTAATTAAGATATATTATCGAGTAAGAGATAATCACTATTAACTAAAATTAATTAACTGCTATTTTTTCAAATAAAAAAAATCAAGTAAGTATTTGGGAATTAAATATCATATGCATAATGTATTTGTTGGACTGGGCCTACCTCCTATTGGATAGGGATTGGAGAGGCGGAGGCTCCTGTCTATTTTTAAGTTCTGAAATTAAGATCGATAAAAGAGATAAATATAATATCATATCATATACACATTTCATTTTTGTTAAAATTTAAAATACGTAAAATATAATATATTATATAATTCTCCAAAATTTATTATATATATTAATATTTGTTTTTAAAAAAATTAATTAATATTATTTCAGATTTAACTAAATATTTAGTTGGTAAGTACTCGTTTACAGATATACTACAAGCACTTTGAACATATTTTTTTAATTGAGATTCAATTTCAAAATTCATTACCGAACACATATTTAAAAATACTGAATACAATTTTGTTTGATTGAATCCATCATTTTTTATTATTAGATCACCGATCAGTGTACACGGTTATTTTTTTATTTTAAAATTGTGTTGGGACGACTTATAAAAATAGTAGTATTATGCGCAACATTGAAAATATTATTCATGAATGACGTTATTTATTTTGGAAATCAATAATTAATGAAAAATACTCTAAAAGTTTTTTAAATTTATTTATCCATACATATTTTAACAAAAAATTTGAAATCAGTTAAAAAATGAGCCCTTGATTGATCCAAGCGATTGACCACTGACAAACCACCAGCCAAGAAAAATATCAAATTACAAAATTCACTCCAAACTTTAAATTTTTTAATTTTGTGCCTAATAAAATATTTTCCAATATTTGGTCTAAAATTCAATCAGATATCTAATAAGTAGAGATGACAAAAAAACCCGCGAGACTCGATCTCTGTAGATATTTTATCCGATCGAGTCGGGGAATCCCAGATTTGACCGAAGACGGGGCCAAACCGAGGATCCTAATCGGGATCCTTGACCTCGCCCCATTTAATATTTTTATATATATTAAATTAATATATATCAATTTTAATTAATATTTTTAAATTTGTTTAAAGTCCAAACCCAAGGGTCATTTAACCATTTTTTTTCTTTTACTTTTAACACCCATAAAAATAAAAAAAATGAAAAAAAATTATCGGAACCCGTCCCTTAGGAATCTCAACCCTGTCCCCGCCCCCAAAATTTCGGGAATGGGAGTGGAGATGGGAGAAAATTCCCCAACGAGGTGGGAATAGGGATGACTCCTCGATCCTACCTCGTCCCGTTGCCATCCCTAGACACAATTGAGGGATACTGTGCAAATCTTCGAGGACGGAAAGGAGAAATGACATAGAAGGCACGAGGGCAATCGAGATTTCAGTGGTATTATGTTTTAGCTTGAAAGTTTATTTGTTTGGGGTATAATTTTTTCATTTGTTAAAAATTGAAGATTTAAATTTTATAATTGAAACTATAAGAGTGTAATTACCATGACACCCCTGCTTCAACGTGGTTTTTACAATTTATAAAAAAAAACAATTTAAAATGGAATAATTGATTGTAATAAATAATTGATAAGGGCTCGTGTGTAGACGTGGAGCGAGAGGAAGACATTTTCGATTTGTGATCCCTAGTTTTTATCCGACATGAATTCCGATATGGGCTACGATCGTCCGTAAAACATGGTGTGTTGTCGGATTTAGAGACATTCCCTTGAATGCACTCCCAGATCGACTCAGACTATTTTAACAGGCTAATGGTAGAGAATGAGCAACTTGATTCGTGCCTTGATTTTCGACCCGAAAAGATTTGAACGAATTGTTATAATCTAAACGGATTTTAATCCAAATACCTTTTTACCATATTGATAGGTAAAAATCTACCCCAACAAGTGTGATGTTTCTAATAGGAGAGGGAGGCGTTTGTAATATAATGGAAGAATTCAAATAAAAATATTGACATGGAAACATAAAAGGGAAAAAAAAGTACCGTTGGTTTAAACACAGTAATGATTAGTGTGTGATATATAGGGGACAACATCTGGAAAGTGGAACAAACAATAAATAAGGAGATTTTTAAATAAAAATGTAATTATTTAATGTAATGGAAGAATTTATAATGGCGCGTGTGAGTGGACGTGGAGGGACGGGAGGAAGAGATTTTCCGTAATTTTTTTTTTAAAATTTTGAAAAGTACCGTTGTGAACTGTGATCTCTCTTTCTATTTATTCTTCTTCTTGGCCAACACTCCAATTACTTCCTTCCGAAGCCATTTCTGATCAAAGCTTCAAATTGGAGAGTTTTTTTTTCAGTTTCCGATCCACCACCACCAGGTACGTAGAGCTTCTTGTAATGGCAATTGCAGCATCTTCTGTTCTGTTCTTCAACGTCGCATGCACTGCGAAAATACACAATATCCCCTCTTCTGTTGCGTGCTTGTTTGCTTTCACTTCCATTCATTCTATTGCTCTATTATTGTAATGTAATGCTGTGGCTCAACGATTAATCTATCGAGATTCTGCAACTTTCTGTGGACAATCATCAGGGCTATAATGTCTGGTCTCCGCCGTCTGCGTTTTACGGAATGCGTCTCGGCCGAAGATTTCGATAACCAGAGTGCAGTCACCACGGCCGGCGATTAAGGTAAATCTCTTCCGATCCATGTTTTCGCTGGAATCATCGCAAAATTACTTTCTCCGTTTTCTAATTGCTTCGATTTCTGATTTCTGCTCGGGCGACGGCGATTATAAAGCTACTCCAAGTAAGTGTAGAAACGGAAATGTTTCGATCGCATAGTTTCCTTGGATTTTGTCTAGTTCTATTCATTTCTTCAACTTAAATTCGCTTTGAAATCCTGCATTAACATCTTTTTTACTTCGTATGTTTTTAGCAGATATGGTCCCTTAATCCTGTCCCGGATGGGGAAGCAGGCCTGAAATACACGTTGAAAAATGAAAATAATCATTCGGACGATATCACCGTGTCGTGCTTCAGAAGCTTTGATGGCTCACTGAAGGTATATATTCGGACGATGTTCACAGTCACTTGTTTCTTTTTGTTTGGCAACTTCCCTCCTACTTATTAACGATTTTCTCAGGTTTGGGATTTGCGCCAAATGTAAAAACCTCTCAAGGTGTATGATAGTCTCCCATTAACTATATCCAAACAAATAGTCCTGATGAGCAACTCTTTCTGGCTCGAACATCGGTTGAGAAAGAGAGCAAAACGGGTGGGAATATCCCAAAGTTGAACCAGGTACAGTTTCTTTTACTTTTTTCATCTCACATGATGCAAAACACATCAAATATGCATATTAAAAACCTTGTTATGAAGAAGCATGGAAGAGCTAGCAGGCTATGACTGAGCGTATCAATCTATTCTGGACATAAGATGTGGGAGATACAGACGCTTTTGGGAATTTTAAGCATATTATATGATGTCAGTTTGATGTTAATAGGGTGTTGTATTATTTATTTTAAAGTCTTCTACGGCATATGTAGCAGAGTTGGATTCTGTCCGTCTAAGAAGCATGGATAACAGAAATGACACGAGACAGACATGGAACAAAAACAAAAAACTCCTTCCAGATATATGGCAAAGTTAGATTTTGACAAATACCTTCTTCATTTAACAGCTGCCTGTAAGGTATGTTTCTGTGCTGCAACTTTCGAATTCGAGCAATATATCTAATCTATGGATAAGTTGTCCATTTGTTTGCTTCTTTTATCAAATTTAATTGAATTTTGTAAAACTAGATTCAATTGAAAGCATTGGCTGAAGAAATGCAAGCAGTGAGTATATAGGTCCTGATAAACTGGAGCAAGAGCTAACTGCTTCAGAAACGTCCATATTAGTTTCAACCTATCAGAGTTGCTGAAAGCCAGCTTTCCTTCTCACAGGCAATCCTCCCTTGAGACAGGTGAGCTCAACGACATGGAGCATCATATTGTATCCAATGCATTTTCTGTAAGTTCCATTTTTATTTTGTTGAGTAATTCACATCCTTGAAAGAATTTGATTTATAAGTATAATTTATTTCCTCTTTGAGACTAGACTACATATCAAAGTTTTCGACTCCCTTTGCACTTGACCTCGTATTTTTTAACTGAATGCCCATTGACTTAGATCATCATATTGTATATAATCTGTATTCTTCTAAAAAAGCTCTAGTATTTGAGATCAGGTTGTTCTTTTCAGGTCTAACACTCTACACTATTCAGATATGTTGTTACTTGTGATTGACCTCTCAGATGGCCTTTTCATGTTCATACAAAGGAATATTTGGATTGTGTTATGCTTAGAGATGTAAGTGCTGTCTTTTTCTCAAAACAGAACTTGATCATTTTGTTTATCTGGTATTCATATTGGTAAGAGAATTCAAGTTGACTATATAGTTTTCATTGACTAGTTAAATGCCTTCCATGTAACACCAGGACTGTTGGGACGCATTTAGTGAATAATTGCTAAATTTATTTCAGGAAATAGAAATATCGGCTGATATGCTTTCCGCAGGTTTGCTTTTGCCCATATCTTTATCTGATAAATTTTTCCTTCGCCATGTTAGCATAAATGTTCTCAGTTCAGCATATTGGCGTGGATTGGAATAATTTGCTGGTTCTGTATTTTCTTGTGCCTATCAGCGGTGAATGAATGAACCTGATGTTTCAAATGATTCTGTGCTGAAACGCAAACCTCTTTGGACTGCATTCATAGATACAGATATTTGTTCATTTCTGCCCCTAGTTTTCTAGTATTATTTTTATTATTATTATACTTTCTAACTTTAATATTATTTCCAATATTTTTCTTTAATTTAACACCAAATTTTTTTTAATCACTTTCTAAATTTAGAATTTTTCACTTTTAAAATGGTCTCTCTCAAAAAAAAATTTTTCTTCTATTTCTAAAATTTTAACACATTTTAAGGTTTTTCCTATTTATTTATTTTTTTTGAATTTTCAACTTTCTTTATCTCACTTTTTTCAAATTTTCCCATCTCCCATCTATTTTCTTACTTTTTAACATATTTTTTCCTATCTCTATATTTTTCTCTCTTTTTCTATATGCAATATTTTAATTTCTTACCTAACTTTTCTCTCTAAAATTGGTCTGTAAACCTTTTTAACTGCTTTTTTCTCTCTRAAATATCTTTTATCTATAAAGTTTTTGACCATCTTATTTATAACATTTTATCTCAAATTTCTTTTTCTCTCTCTCTCTCTCTTTTTTTTCCCTTCTAATCTAAGTTTTTTTTTCCTCTATCTATTTATGAATTTTTTCTCTCTTAAATTTTTTTTCTAACATTCTTCCTCTCTTTGAAAAATCTTCTCACCTTTTTTACTTTCTTGTATATATAAATTTTATCTCTTAAAATGCCATTTTCTTACCTCGTACTTGTCACGAGAGTTAATTTTCTTACCTTAAACTCATTTCATCAAATTAAGACTAAAACTTGAGAAATTATATAACATCAACAAAAAAATAAAAATAAAAAAAGAAGAAGAATAAAAAGAAAAAAACTCAAAATCAAACAACAAAAATGTTCAAACCCAACATTGAAAACACCTAGCAACAAAATCAAGTAGGTGAAAAAATTTCAAGTATTGAGTTCTTTGATGAAATTAAAGGTTTAAGTTTAAATTTCATTGAGTCACCCACTCAAGTACAAGGGTAGAAAGAAAAAAGTTTTTTTTTAAGTATTTCTATTTCAACCTAAAATATTTTCTCACTTTCTAATTATTTATTGTCTAGTTTTTTTCCTTTGCATTTAGAACAATGTTCTCTCATTTCTTTTAACTTTTTGTATGTAAACCTTTTTTTCTCTTCAACTTCTTTTTTGGGGGGGACATCATTTTCTTACCTCTCACTTGATGGGTGAATTGATTTTTTACTTAAACTTATCATCAAATTAAGACTTAAACTTGAAAAACTATTTAACTTGAAACAGAAAAAAAAAACACTCAAAATCAAACTACAAAAATGTCAAAACCCAACATTGAAAATACTATAACTTAGCAACAAAATCACGGAGGTAAAAAACACTACTTTTTCAATTTTTAAGTTCTTTGATGAAATTAAAGGTTTAAGTTTAAATTAAATTGACTCTCTCAGTCGAATACAAGGGTAAAAAATTATTATTTTCCCACCTCTTTCTATTTCTTGATTTTTCCACTTAACTTTATTTTCTGTCTTTCACTTTTTAAACTTAGTTTCTCTCCCTTAAATGATCTTTACTTCTAATTTTTTTGTTCATTCTAAATTTTTGTCCCCTCTTTATCTAACTCTTTTTTCTTTCTAAATTCTTTCATTTTTTTCTTTTTCTCTAAAATTCCCCTTTTCATAGTTTTTAACTATTTCTCTTGAAATTTTTGTTTCTTTTCCCTCTAAAATTTTCCGCCTTAACCTTTTTCTTTCTAAATTTTTTTCTTTTTCTTTTTTATTTTTTCTTATCTCTAAAATTTTCATCATTTTAAAGTTTTGTGGGTCAAAATTTCTCACTTTTTACTTATTTTCTACTTTCTAACTTTATCCTCTATCTAAAAATTTCTCACTTATTAAACTCTTTTGAACATTTGAACTTACTTTTGAGATATTGGAATGTCTCGCTACACTTGATTGGAGTGATAATTTTGTAGTTAAACTGGTATGTTAATTCTTTGTTATAGTATTGTTTGAAACCACATTGTTGAAGTTATAATGTAATTTCAAAGCTTTTATTCAATTGAATTGTTTGTAATGTATTGATAGTTGCAGCCATACTTTTGCGACATTACCTTTCATTTAAGAGGTTTTCATCTTCCTTTATGTTGGTATGAATTCATTAAGTTGCTGAAACGAGGTAAAATTTAAATGTAGAGTTTTTATGTTTTTGTGTCTATATTTGAAGGACGGCTCATTTGTAAATCTCTGCAGGCAACAATTTGGTGGGCTGGGCTCATGAGAGGTGCTATGCAGTTGGCATTTGCTTTATAATCAGGTCAGTTAGGAACATTAACGATCACAATCTGGCTGCAGATTTTATATCAACGAATGAAATAGTACAGGCAGTTGTTTACTTTTACAAAGGTTTGGCAAAGTTCTCATGATAGATTTGTTTTAAGCCAGCTGGATTTCATTGATTTCATATCTCTCTTTGTAAGTTTTTCTTTTATCAATGCAATGCTAGTTACCTATAAAAATGATGATATACTTTACTAATGGGACTGATAATTCGCTTTTATTTTTATTTTATTGTTATTGAAACAAGAAATAAACATTTACAATTTAATAGTTACCATTAAACTCTAGAATTGGACTAAATAAAAGCCCCCTGATTTATGTTAATAACGAAGCTATGTTTGGTACCACTACAGGCAGGTCAGGATGAATTGATAGCTCTCGAGAAGGCACTAAAGGATAGAAGACCATGATTCCTGCGGAACTGCAAGAGAGGTGGAACTTAAGCTTTGGTATTTTTTTTCCTTTTCCATAATGTTTGGGGGCAGTTTGTGAACATTTTTTTTTTTACTTTTATTTAATTATAAAAGTTGTGTGCCTCTCAAGACTGATTTTGGAAGGGAGGTACCTTTGTTTGAGTTAGAAGGAACAACAGTTGAAGAACTTATATTCCTATATATTTGACACAGATAATCAGGGGTACTCTGCTACTGAGATGGATAGGCTTATCCCAATTGCCATATTTATGGTCAAATTTGATAAGGAGGTTTTTCTTCCTACTATCATCCTTTGTTGATTTAGTTTTATTTATTTTCTTCCTACCATCTCTTACTTTTCACTCTATTTGTCCAGCTAAACGAGGAAGATTACTTATCAATTACATTATCGATATGATGGAGGTGGAGCAACTCAAGTTTGGCTGGGCTCTGGCAGGTATTGTTTTGAAAGTGTCCTGATTTTTAAGAACTTTGGATAGGAACATTTGGCAAGCCTTGCTATATTCTGTGTGCTATATTCTTTCTGTTCACTTTGTCGGCATTGCACCATAGGTTATAAATTGAGCACTTTCTGTTTTGTTATTTTCCCAAATAAGGCAGATTCTATTGAAACTTGAGCCTTTGATTTCATGTTATTCAATTCATTAACATATTACTATCCGAATTTAGGTTCTTTAAATGGTTGTGATTGGTTATTGGCTTACTTGTCAATGGGCATGCAGGATCATAATCCCTTGAGATAGCTTATAAGTTGATACGAACCTTTCATTGATTAATGAAAAGGAACAAAATTGTTCAAGGATACACAAACTCTTAATGGGAGTGAAAGCATAAAAATAGAACAAAAACTTCAAAGAAGTTATAAAGGCCTCCCAATTCATACAAATCAAATTAGGAGAATAGGGGAAGAAAGTATCAGAAAGAGCACACCATTGAGAAGCTTTAAATTTAGCAATATTGAAACATTCAACTGTTGAACAGCTGGAATCTTTAAATATGCTTTGATTTCTCTCAAACAATAGCTCTGAAACAATCGCCTTAAAACCATTGATCCAAAGCAGATTAGCTTTAGGCACCAATCTAACTCCATTAAGAATCTGGAAAATGTAAACAGCCAAACAGTCCAAGTCCAAGCCAAATTGAACATCTGGGAGAAGAAAAACCAACAGGGAGAAGCATATGGGCAGAAGAAAAACACATGATTCAAGTTCTCTCCCCGTTCAGCACATAAAAAACAAAGGATGGCTGTAGAGCCATATTAGGGGACTTCTTCTGTAAAACCTCAGCTGTATTAACCTTGCCATGTAGGATAAGTGACTATAAGTGAGCTTTAGCAATCGCAAATCAGCTCTTCCAAGCTTACAAAGAGAGGAAACTGAGAAAAGACCTGAATTTTCCAAACTCCATCGACAAGCATCCATTTCCTTAGAAAGAGTAATCGGAGAAATACAAGATAGTAACTCCGAAAATTCTACAAATTCTTCATCTTTCAACGCCCTTCTAGTAATGATATTCCAAGAAGAGGACTCTCTATCCCAAGCATCTGAAACTTGCAAAGGGGACGATGGGATATTGTAAATTGAAGGAAATCTTACCATGAGAGGAGAATCACCAATCCACAGATGATGCCAAAAGAGAGTTCTTTGACCATTTCCTAATTTGACATGAGAGAATTTCTCCACCACTAATCATTGATTTTATTCCAAGGACTACGGGCCGATCCATGAATTTTTAGGAAACGCATTCCAATTAAAATAGTCAGAACCATATAAATTGGCCACCACCCTACGCCACAAAGCATCTGGTTCTACACTAAACCGCCATCCCCAGTTAGATAATAGCGCACTGTTTCGCTTAAGAATACAGCCAATGCCCAAACCTCTAGCTTCCCTTAGAAGAGAAGCAATGTCCCAACGAACTAAGTGTCTCAAGGAGCCTTTCGAGAGTCTCCCCACAAGAAGGAACATATCTTTTGCTCAATTTGTTTACTGATCCTCACCTGAAAAATAGAAAGATAATAAAAGGGGATGCTTCCAAGAACATGTTGGCACAAGGTCAATCTACCACCTTTTAAAGCTCCTAGACCGGAGCCCAAAAAGAATCAAGTTTAGGATTTCCTCCTAGAGGCAAACACAAATATATAATCGGAAAGCGTTCAACTACAGAAGGAGTTTGCAACTTGCTCTACCTGTTGATCTTCCATATTGATACCACACAAAGACAATTTCTCCCAATTAACTTTAAGACCTGATAACCACTCAAAGGCCTTAATAGCATCAAAAAGGATCTTGAGCATCCCATCGTCATCTTTACAAAATAATAGTGTGTCATCAACAAACTGTAAATGAGAAACATGTATCGAATCCCTTCCCACTACAAATCCCTCGAAGACTCCCTTTAGATATATGCTGTCTAACAGAATACTAAGCACATCACTGATCAAAATGAATAAAAAAGGAGAAAGGGGTCTCCTTGTCTCAAACTTCTCGAAGCTTTAAATCTCCCTATCGGTTTCCCATTGATAAAAACCGAGAAATTGTTGCCCCTAATACAACCACTTCCAATAGAAATTGTTGCCCCTAATCCATTCAATCCACTTCCTACCAAAGTCTTTTTGTTGAAGAACTTCCAATAGAAAGTTCCAATCGACTTTGCCAAAAGCTTTTTCCATATCAAGTTTCAAGACCCAACCTTTCTTCTTTCTGTATCGATAATCATTCACAACTTCATTTGCAATGAGAACCGGGTCAAGAATCTACCTTCCACTTATAAAAGCACTTTGATTACAAGCAATAGTGGATGAGATAACCTTGTTGAGTCTTTCTTTACTAACAATTCTGATAAAATCTTGTATGTGATAGTAGTAAGACTGATGGGACGAAAATCTTTTACTTTCTCCACTCTGGTCTTCTTTGGAACAAGACATATGAAATTCTCCTTAATACACGAATTCACCTTACCATTGCAATAAAATTCAGCAAAAAAATCTTGCAAAGGCCTTCCAATACTTCCATAATTTGATGAAAAATTCAGCTGTAAAACCGTCCGGTCCCGGGGCCTTATTCTTGCCAAGACCTTTTAGTGCACTCGAGATTTCGCCTTCCTAAAACTGTCTTTCTAACCAAAACCTGTATTGAATAGAAATTGGCCTCCAAGTAAGGTCCACTAGTAGAAAACGCTGCTGATCCTCCTTCCAATAAAGATTTTCAAAATACTGAAAAATTTCCATCTTAATGTCCCTCAGATTTTACCAAGGGTTCCTGCAGCATCATGCAACTCTGATATTAGAGCTTTCCTCCTCTCGGCTGCCAAGAACATGTGAAAAAAACTTACTATTCTCATCTCCCTCCAAAAGCCACCTGATTTTACTTTTTTGGAGGAGAATTTGTTCCTCCCGAATATAAATATCCAGTAGATTATGTTTTAAGGAACATCTTTTCACCACTTCATCATTATCTAAGCCTGATTCCTCCTCCTTGCCGTCCAGCAACGCAATTTCTTCAAGAAGTTTTACTTCAGCCGCCTTTTCCTTGCGCTCTTTCTGATTATGCCACTGCTTAAGGGAAATCTTCAAGTTTCTAAGCTTAGAAGAGATTAGATAACCTGTCCAACCATATGATTTATCCTCCGAGAGCTTGGATTCAATTAAACTAACACAATCCTTGTCCTTTAACCAAGAATTAAAAAATCTGAAAGGACAAGGCCCCCATAAAATCTCACCTGTATCCAGAAAAATGGGAAAATGATATGAGGTAGTGTGTTCGCCTCTATACACTCGAGAGTTATAGAAGAGAGAGTCCCAATCTGAAGAAACAAAAAAATCTGTCCAACAGTGAATATGTACTATTGTTTCCCATCTTTGACCATGTATAATGCCCATTTGATCAGGGAATTTCCATAATTTCAAGCTCCTCAATGACTTTATTGAAAATCTTCGTAGCCTTCGATTGTCTTCCACAAGAAGAATGATCTGATGGCCATCTTGTGACATTAAAATCACCTCCCATACACCAAAATTTGTTGGAAAAAACCGGCTAAGTTGCTGATTTCTGTTCACAGCTTCTTCCGTTCCTTATAATTTATAGGGCCATAAATATTAGATATGCATAACTCTTGCAAATTATGGAAGGAACAAGAGATGGTTAATGAAAAAATTCCTTCAAGGACTTTCCGAACAGCAACTCTACTAAATCCCAAAGTGTAATAAGGCCTCCTGATCTTCCATCCGATTGAATCTACGCCCAGCCAATATCCTGAGAACTCCACAACGACTTTATTGCAACTTAGTTTCTTGGAGAAGTACTATATCAGGACAATGTTTCGAAATAAGTTTCTTGATTTTCAGTCTCTTCTTATAGCAACACAGACCACGAACATTCCATGACATTATTTTCATTGAGAATTCAGAATTGGAACTACCGAAATTCCCACTGCCTTAAAGAAAGGGGGAATATCAGTCTTAGCTACAAACTTTTCGTTCAAAGTTAGTACTGGCTGCTCCCCTTCAGTACTTACCAATTTCTTATCCAAGTCAAGTAGATTAGGAAGATCTTCCTCCAAGGGATACTTAGATTGATCAGCGATGTTGGAGGTAGTGTCTATACAATCAGGTGAAGGATCAGGGCTGCTGAGATTCACATTAAAATCTTCTTCATCTTCAACTTCAACTTCATCTTCAGAAAAGGAAAACTCTCTTGGGCTAGCGAGTTCCTTGGTGGAGAATGCAAGACCTGGGTTCAAAGTCAGAAGAAGGTCAATCGACCGTTCTTTCCCCCCAAAAAATCGTCTGATATTCTCCCTCCTCAATAAAGACTTCCTTGAGTAACGAAATTTCCAATCTCTGCACTCTTATTTCATCATTTAATTTTGACTTAAACTTTTTCCGAGAATACAAAAGATGGTAGCGGAGGAATAAACTTTCTAATTGGATTTTTGGAAGGAGTAATTTTAGGAGAAGATTCAGATTTAGAAACCGCCTTTGGAATTTCAAAAATTAGGGCATCATTAATTACTTCATCCACCACCTCCTTCCCTAAACCACGCTCTCTGGAAACATTTGCCAGCTTGCCCTCCGAATTAAGTTTGTTTCTAGATTCTCTTTCTTCATTAAGAGAAATCTTCTCACTTCCTTCGTCAACGACAATCTTAGGGCCCTCCGCATTCTCCACGATTACATATTTTCTTTCTTCATTAAGAGAAAACATCTCACTTCCTTCGCCAATGACAAACTTGGGACCTTCCGGATTCTCCACGGATTTCGGTACATCTTTTGTTAATTAAAAAATAGCCATCTCAGAATTCTGCTGTTGGTTAGAATCATTAAACAAATCTTTAGCTTGATTACTGAAATCAGACGTTACCGATTCTTTTCGAATATTGCCAAGTGAGTTGTTGTCAACCTTTAACACTCCTACTGTTTCATTATTATAAGGATTAGACGGAATAAACCCTGCCCTTTCATCTTCCATAATTTTCCGGAATCTTTCCACACCCAGGATCAATACTTGAAGGAGAAGAAGATCGAATACTCTTACTGTGAAGGTCCCATACTTTTTATCTTTTAATAACCACAGAGACCGGAATAAATCCACATACATTTTCTTGAACTTTAAGGTAGACATCAAAAGCATCCAACAGGTTAAGAGTTCTAGTGGAAATATCTACCAGACCTCCATAATGACTGCCAATGGCTTCAAAAGTTGAACGTGGCCAGTAATACAAAGGTAAGTCCTTGAAGATTAACCAACCACCGTACCCTTGAATGAACTCCTTTTTATTGTGCAATTGGGGACTCCACTTTTCTAACTTTAGATAATAGTCACCAATCTTTCTCCACTTACCAAAAAGCTCAATGGAATTTAACATTCTATCATCTTCAAATCTCAATAGACCTTTATCAGCCGAAAAAGGGTTTATCCTGCATCCTAACGAGAATTTGTCTTCTAAAGCCTTCAATATCTTGAGTCAATTGTCATGTGCACAACCCTTAGAAACCACCATTAAACAATTCCAATATAAATCCAGTACTTCCGATTCATTTATAACCCAGAACCCTGCTGTTTTTCGAGGGAGACTCTGTTTTCTTCCTACATTCCCCTATCGATTCAACAATCGTTTTTCTCCTCGTACCTTTAGCCACATATGCGAAAGATCTTCCTTCTTGAGTGAAAGTGTTTCGTAGAACAGGTGCATGATCTTTAAGGATCTGCTCCTGTCTTTCCTCTGGCTTCCACTGTTGGCCGAATATTCTCGACCAAATTCCTAACCTGCTCCTCTGTTGATCATACCGAGAAGGTTTTTAGCATTGTCCAGAAGACATTCCATCCCTCGCGGTTATCTCCAGTCGGAATTATCACATTTTTCCTTCCTCCAATAGATGGCCAAAAACATCAGTTCCAAAAACCACAACTGCTTGGATTTGAATTTTAGCAATCTACATTGTCCAAGATCATCCTGAATCTGATGATAACAACGAGCATGAGTCGGCTATTGGTTTACCACCACCAACTTCTCGAACCACAGAAACTGAGACGGAAATAGGGGTACCACCTTATTCCTCCCAACGTCTTCCAGCATGAAACGACCATTTTCACTCTAGATACATAAGAAATTACCATGAAACGACCATTTTCACTCCAGATACATAAGAAATTACCATCAATACGGAAATTACTGACTTCCATCTTCCAGTAAAACTGAAATCTGATACACTAAATCTATGAACACCCTAAAATCCAGAAGAAAACTCTCACCAAATGCAAGACCGGATGGAGGAAGAGGAGAGAGAGGAGAGAGAACAGAGCATACTTTTATAAGTTGATGGATTTTAACATGTTTTAGGAGTTCTAGAATAATATTGAAATCAGATTGCCCACTTTTGGTGACTGTTGAAGTTCAAAAGACTGTGACATGACATGGATTTGAAGTCAAAAGACTGTAGATGGTAAACTTAAGGTTTGGGTATAGCTGTGATAGATCTCTATGGATTGTTATTTGTAAACCCTGTACCTTGCAATATTATTTCCTTTTATTGTTCAAGAATACATTTATTAATATTTATTCTCTTTCTTTGTTCCTTTGTTTTTGCTAAGTAGTATTCGGATACCCAATCTTTACACTATGCTCATGGCTCACCCCACCCACTCAAGACCAATTATGGGAGACGAAAAGGTCTCAAATTATTAAGTTTTTCATTTAGGGGTTGAACTCGGAATCTTCGAGGATATTTCCAAACATCTCAAACCCTACCAATCCTTGTATTCTGCCTTCGGAATGTACTTAGATTTTTTCTTCTTTTTTTCCTAGTGGGCGGACGAAAGATTGAAAAAGAGTATAGGTTCTCTCAGAATTGGGACGTAAAAGTTTCTTAGTTAAATCAAACATAGGAATTCCCCCATAAAATTTCAACAGAGATCTAAAGGCTTTATAGTGAAAATGATTATAAAAAAAACATCGATTTAAGAACAAAATGAATTTATAAACTTAAAAGAGTCATTCTACTAATTATCTAAATCCACTTTCAATACTATTTTTCTCGCCAAATTGCATGTCCACAAAATTTCATTTCTACATTCTCGCCATCAAACTTCAAGGGTTGTTGAGAAATTGTTAAATTTCTAATATCTAGTAGCCAATTAGGCAACTATGGATCAATTTGGGTATAGTATAGGTAATAGTTATCCTTTCTAAAGCAATGAATATGCATACATGTTAATGATTTCATTAAATATCTAGGAATCCAACTTCTAAGGACGAATAGAACGTGGTAGATTATGTTGCCACACAGATATATTTCCTTCAATCATCCAGATCAAGGGTTTTTTCACAATTCAGTGGCCAAAACCTAGTTTTGATCCTCATTTGCAGACCTTGGTAAGCTCTCAAACTTCTAATTGATTTTGCATGTATGGAAATTTTACAGAATTTATGTTTTAGAAGAACCACTATGTTTGTGCATGGAATACCAGTAGCTCTCTTCCACCCTTCCCTTTCTCTTTACCTCCTTGCCCACGTCTTTCTTTCCTTATCCTTCTCCCTCTCTTTCTGCCTCTCTCCCTCCTTCTTTCTCCTTACTCTCTCCTTCTCTCCCTTCTCTCTCCTTCGATTCCTATAATCAGAGTATTGTGTTTCGATGGTGATGGTTATAAGGATTTGTTTGAGTTAGAATTGTGTCTTAGTTGGGTGTGATTATTAAAACTTGTATTTTTTTGTGCATGCACGTTCATTTTACATAATCTATGTTTTAGAATCATTATGTTTGTGCATGG